ATCTTTCCCATGGCGTGTAAACGTTTGGAAACAGCTGCTTCAGTAACTCCTAGCTCGTTTCCAAGTTCTTGTAACGTTCGAGCCGAGTTTTCATGCAATAATGCTAGCAATTCATCGTCTTGGAATTTTTTTGGCTGTCCTGAGCGTGGTTTGTCATTGACATCAAAATCATTACTTTTGAATCGTCTATACCACTCTTTACATGTTGTATGTGATGGAGCTCGATCACCATAACCTTCTTCAAGTAATCGATGAACTTCTGCTACACTTTTTTTCAAATCAAAATAGTGCAAAAGCACATGTCGAAAAAACACTTTATCGCGTTCCATTTTTCACAAAGCAAAAGAAATTGTTGTTTAGGAAAATAATTGTGTATGCTGACTGAATGTTATCGAGAAATGTCGAAATTAATCACAAACTACCTGTTTCGTTAGTAATGACTACTAGAACTGTTTGCATTGCCATCTAACATTTGCGGGCGGAAACTAAGTTAAGGTCCTAATATTTCATAGAAAATGTGTTTTACAGGTAAATATATAATAATGTTCAAGTATTCAATTTGTTTACACAAATGCTTAGATACATTAGTCTTTCCAAGCTACGTTATATTAAATTAAAGTAGGTTAAGTTAGGTTAAAGTTATCATATGAGTGTGTGTGTATGTTTCATATATAAACTTCAGACATTATTTTTATATCGCGTTCTTATAAAAATAAACCCCAGATGTCAAAGCACTTACAAATTCTTTTTTCCTATTTTATTAAAATTGTTACACAAATACGCACTATACAGGGTGTCCTATTCGTACCGTACCAGAGCTAATATATTGCTAGAATAGGTCAGGGTGAGTAATGGAATAGGTATCTTTTTTTAAACAACCACGTGAAATTTTGAAATATTTCCAACGAAAGATTTCTACCGAGTGGCAGTCCACTGGCACACGCGTTACGGTGAGACGAACGCTGTAGCATCGACATGACAGACTAGTCGGCCCAGCCTCCTAGCAACGAGGAAAACGCGTCTGTCATGTCGATGCTACAGCGCATACAGCGTTCGTCTTACCACAGCGCATATGCTAATTGGCCAGTAGGCTGCCACTCGGTAGAAATCTTTCGTTGTTAATATCTCAAAATTTCACGTGGTTGTTTAAAAAAAAATACCTATTTCATTACTCACCCCGACATATTCTAGCTATATATTAGCTCTGGTACAGTACGAGTCAAACACCCTGTATATGTATCTCACCCACAAAAGTCTCAATAAAATTTCAATAACGTGCTACTCGGTGTTTTCTTCACTAATGAGATTGGTCGACATGATGATCGAAAGAGGAGATTATAAACCTCCTCTTCTGCCCATATTTTATTCCTCTTCCCAATATATAGGACTATTTATAATGTTAATAATAAATATCTCATAAAATATGCATATGAAAAAATAGCATATGAATAAACAAGATTTGGTTGGTATTAAAGGAGACACTATCATAACTGACTATTATAGATAACACTACTACTAAGCCAAACAAAGATCAACTATATTTTTTTAAACGAATACGCTCATTTTTTATTGTTTTATGTGCAAGTCAAGGTAAAAACAATTATTTTTTATTAAACGTTTTTTTTTTATTAAATGTAAATTTTTTTAGATAATTTGTTTTAAAGAAACATCATTTATTTTATGATATTTTTACACATTTCTAAAATTTTATTTTATTTGCAAAATTGTGGAATAATAAAAACATATATCAATAATACGCTGTCGTATATTCTTATAGATCTCTTTATAGATACATATGAAAATATGAAGTAAATGTTTCTTTAAAGACGATTATTTCGAAAAATTTGCATTTAATAAAAATATGTTCCAAATAAAAAGTATTTGTTTTTATCTTTACTTCCACATAAAATAATAAAAAATTAGGTTTTCCAATAAAACAAATATAGTTAATTTTTGTTTGACCTGATAATAGCGCTTGTTTGTTTGATAATAGCGCTATCTATAATATAACTCTAATAGGGTATTATATATCTTATGTTCCCTTTAATACCAAATAAAATTTGTCTATAACATTTTTTCATGTAATACATGTTTCGCAAGATATTTGTCAATAATATTATAAATTTGTCAATAACATTATGACTTTGTATAAAAGCATTAAAACATTTTATAATTAAAGTCGCAATAAGAATTGAAAAACATAATGTAATAAAATATATAATAAAAAATATATTTTTTTTAATAAATTTTTTAAAAATCCATTTTTTTAAATTAACTAATTAATCAATATTTCGATGTCTTTTATACATATAATCGATGTCATCCAAATTTTTTTATTCTTTTAAAATGATATGTGAAACATTAATCTATTTTTAAATATCATAAATTTTTATAGAAGTGTCATTAATACTCGCGAATTGCGATCACTGCGTATTTCAACATTTAACGTGAACAATCCTTCCGTCCATGATTTTCTCTTAGCTATTCGCTTAGCATAATTGCGCGTGTAATTACGTTGTCAAGGACAAGATGGATCTAGTTATTGTGTTCTCTACAGCCGGCTTCGTCGTTCGTCATTGAACGATAAAGCAATGATCATAATGGTCACTCGGATACAATTGGATTAATAGTGGTTACGGAATAACGTAACAGGCTGTCAATCGAATTAATCTTTCGAGTAATAATAAATCAAAGTAATTTTGAGATGTGAGGAAGACATGAAAATTATTATTTTAAGTACGTTTATTTTTAGTAAAATATATATCTAAAATGTTGCAAAGTAAAATTGTGAATTATATTTTTATTATTCAAGAATATTTTGTTGTTAATGAAATAGTAATGGTAAAAAAAAATGAAGAGCAAGAAGTTCCAAAGAAAGAATTGCTACATTAACTTTTTATAGTTTTTCTAGTCAATAATCCCAATAGATCGCAATAATCATACTATATATATATATATATATATATATATATATATATATATATATATATATATATATATAATATTTGTGTCTTCTTTTTGTATAAAACAAAATATCTTGTTAATATATGAATTGGCGATATATATATACGTGCGATAATTAAACAAATAAACAGATTTCACAAATTTTCTGGAAATATATTTATCAATATATCGCGCTTGATAGGTAAAAAAATTGCAAGAAAATGCCTTTTTACATAATCATACAATTGCAAAAGAATATAAAAGACTCCATAGAGACTTGATTGCAAGAATGTCACGCAAAAGCTCGTGACAATCAAATTCAATCAGGCTTCGTAAAATAAACGTATTTCCGCAATGACATAGTGCGACATCCGCACCCGTAGACATAATACTGCACAAGTACATGGTATCGCAAAAATGATGTAACAAGTTATATATGTTACTTCTGTATTGAGTTTTAAGGAAATTGATAGAAACCTTGAAACCATGAAAAATAATAGAATATAATTTATTTAATCAATAAATTTTTCAGTAATTTGATATTTAAGTTTTATATAATTATACATACACTCAGTTGCGTTGATGCTATATTATTTCTCAAATCGGTAACCACTAAAAAGTTTTGCCGTATCCGTATCCGTTTCTAGCTGATCGTTTTTCATGACTGTTGATTCATCCGGTAAGCGGGAATGTGTCAAAATGAAGTGACATTTTGATAGCTTGACGTTTCATACATACGTGTTTTTATCAGAAAGTTATCCACTCACGTGTAACGCGTAATCAGTAGAAGAATAAAAATGTTAAAAAAGATAAGTAAGAAGTTAATATACAAAATTATAATAAATTTATATACATATAGACACAAAGGGTCTCTGCTTTTAATATTTTCACGAAGTTTTTACTTTATTCGAATAAATATAGAATATTTATTAATAACGAATAATTTGAGAGCAAATCGCGTTTACATTTTGTTTTAAACGTGTACAATAAATTAATTTTGCGAGTCATCTTGTGAGTATCATTGTTAATGATAACAATCTGTTTTTTTAATAAAAATGGCTTCCTTCCGTTATCGCATCAATAATCTGTTGCATCATTTGTCTGTCATCAAATAATTTTTTATATAACTCAATTATTTATTCTATATTCTATATAATTTGCAAAATTACTCGATTCTTTTTGATAGTTACTGCAAATTCATTTAGCATAAATATTTATCTGCCTAGTAAATAATTTTTTTCTTAAAAAATTACCATAAATTAATACAAAAAATCGATTACATTATCAAAGAGAATACGTAATTCTGTTATATAGCACTAGTATAAAAATATATAGTTCATTACAACAAATTTATTTTTATTATTTACTAAGTTATATTTTAACCGCGCATAAAAACAGAATTTCTTGTACAAATCATATAAAACATAATATCAATTAATTAAAATATTTATACAAGTTAATGTATATTTTATTATAAATAATAATTACGATATATCTATAACCAAGCAAAGTAAAAAATAAAAAAAATATTAAATAAATGAGAAAAGATCACAAAATTAAGCAACATAAATACAAAAATACATATATATTTCTTTTAACTCTATTATTATCTATTTTATATTATAAATTATGAAGTTTGGTGTCGAAGTATGATAGTCTATGAATTATATTAACGGACGTCCAAAGTCGAAAGAAACATCCGCTAAAATGTAACAAATTCAAGTCGGCGTATGTTCCTAAATGTCGCATGAATCAGTATTATTGTGCAATTCATATAAATCGTCGTTCATTAACGATGTATCGTACCTGACAGAGGTACGAAATAATGAAGAAATAAAAAAAAAATGTTTTTGACAACAGTGATCGAAATAAAAGAACCGCGTGCTGAGAAAGATAAAAAGATAGTGGTGGGGGAGGAGGAGAGGGCGGGAGGCGGAAAGAAAACCAGTCGACGACGAGATTAGCACAGGGTAGTTTTTCTGTGCGATTCTAATTTTGGGATTCGCTGCGAGATCGCGGCTAAGTGCTTCATCTCCTAGTATTTTATCGCATCGTACCTTCTCCGGCGGACATATATCCAATGACAACGGCGACAGCGACGAATAATCACTGACGCATCGATGGTCGCGCACGAGCAGTCGTCCAACGTCGCTTCTCCTTCAATCGTCGGTCGTCAGGTTGTGTTCGTCCCACAAAAGATGGGGTGTCGCCGAGGATTACGTTATTGTCCACACAATGGTATGTGCGTGCGCCACGTGATGCGTGCGCGTGTCGTTAACAAGGAACACTCGACGACACACGTATCACGGTGGCATCGTGCGAATCACTGAACCGACCTCACTCGGTCGCCTCGATTCTCGTGTCCGCGACGCTACCGTTCGACCCACCGCGTTCCGACAGGGCTGGTTTCTTAGGGTGCTTACAGGTGCGATATATATTCACCCTCGATGCTTATCGCTATCTGTTTCTCTATGATTGATGAAAATTGGTGGATATGAAATAAGTGACAATCGATGAAACATTGTATCTCCGGATCGAAAATATATCAAGGTTCTGTTTCTGACTTGAAGTTCTTAGCAACGAGTATTTGTACAGAGCAAGAAACGTTTTTAAAATGGAACCTATTCCAAGCTCAATTTGTTTGACCAAAAATTTAGATAAAATTTAGGTGAGGAATAATTACGATGGTTTAAAATTTGCCTTTTTTCCCTAATAAAAATTCTGAATTCTTAAAATTGAATATGAAAGATATAAACTCAATATAATGAATATTAATTTCTCAATTAATTTTAACTTAATTGTGAAAATATTCTAAATTCAGCTTAATTAGGATATTATATTGATTGTGTTTTAAAGAAGAAACATAGCATAGTTTCATAATAATGAAACTTTCATGCAAAGATTATTAGTATAGTATTCGTTTTATTTAAGAAATATTACCCCTTTTAAATAAACACACGTTTAATAGAATATAACACAATATAAAATTCCTGAATATTCGTGAAATGCATTATTATATATTCGTATATACTAGCACACGCAAAATCAAGATGTTAACAAAATATATTTACATACAGTAACAAAATATATATTTTACACACTGTAGTGCACCATTAATAATACGTCCCCGAAATTGTTGTAGCCAAATAAAAATAATTTAAACATTATTAATTATAACAAACGATGACAATAAAATTAAGAATGAAAGTTTATAGTTTAAAAGCTAAGCCGGTGCAAACGCGAAATTTGAGATTTGGTTTCGGGGCGCATAGATATCTCAACCCGCACCTACGAGTCTCATCCGCTTGCGATGATTGGTCAGTTTTTTCGCGGGTCGATTTGTTGCTAGATGTTTTTCGCGCAAACGCGTTGCGTTACTGATCGGCTTTCACCGATCGATTGAAATTAACATGTATTTAGTAATAGTAATTCGCAAGTTTCGCTGAATCTATAAACGCTATAAAATAACGAATTGTTAACATTATAACATAAAATTACTATCTGCTTGAAATATTGCACTTTGATCTTGCAAATGCAGTTGATGTTTCTTAAGATTTCTTTTCGACGCGAATAATGTAATTGAATAATGTTTGATATGAAATAAAAAATTACGAGAATAATGAGAATTTTACTCTATATAAATCTTATTATATCCGAGATAACCAAGCGTGATTTAGCATATCAAGCAAACGAATGTATTGCATGTTTTGCTGAATAGTTGATATTTGGTTGCCATCATCGTAAGCGATGTGCTACCAAATTCAGCAACATGAGTGGTAATACATATAATCAGTTAATGAAATTTTTTTAAGAGCAAACGATCAGCAATAATAGTACGGAAGGTTGCAAACAACATGATGGCAACATGACAAGAACTGATGACTTGTTTTTGGGTCAATAGCATTTTGATGGCAACGTGACAACAATAACAGAAATGGAACCTTTTTCATCGATTTGCTTTGTATTTGCTTTCAATCGTTGAAGTTTCTAAATTACATGTTTTTGTCGACAAAGTGTGAACAATAAGTAATTTTCATATATTTACAACAATTTGTCAATAACAAACACACTGTGTACGAATTTAAAAAATAATTGTTTATTTGGCAACTTTAGGGTGCGTTCCCACTTAGCGTGTCATGCGTCGCGTCGTCCAAGTTAAACCAATCAAATCGTCCCATTTATTGCGTAACTTCATGCCGAATAAAATGGGACGATTTGATTGGCTTAACTCGGACGACGCGACGCGTGACGCGCGAAGTGGGAATTCAGCCTTATATATGTTATATGACTATTATTTGGTGTTTGCAAGGTATGTTATAACATACTATGAACATTATAAGGATATATTATATAAGCGTAAATCGTAAGAATATCGTTGGAGTTATTGGGAATCGCTGCGTGCCGCTCGATTCTCAAGTTAAGTAACACTTTTAACGGAATCAGGACATGGATGGTGGGTGACTGGTGATATTACCGCTTCGGATCGAAACTATCGAGGGGAGGAGGATTCACAAAAGTTTGGAGTGTGTGTTGTTGACAATCTTCGATACCTAAATGGTTTATGAGACATGAGAAAATTAGGAATTATAAATATATTTTTTAAATATTATGATTTTCTCATTTTTCACCTTCGCACAATAATTCTCAGTATTTGATTACTATTAATATTTAACAGTGATTTTATTATCAGTATTCACCAGAAATTAAGCACTGGCCAAAAAATTACTGAATTACTGGTAATACTTAATCACTAATAATTTTTCAGTATTTCTTAGTATGATTAGGTGCTTCTACATTATGTTCGTTGGAATATGTTCGTTGGAATATGCGATGACAATATGCCATCATATGTACGTCATTCATATTTAAGCAATTGTTGTCGTCATGTTAACTTAGTATCGATTCATGAAGAATACACGTGAGCACAATCCAACGAACATAATGTAGAAGCATCTTGTCCCTACTTTTTCGAAAACATTTGCTTCAACGGTTCTCAACAACTTGACGGCAACTTCATAGACAGGTTATCTGAGATGATTATCATAATTTACTTGTTTGACATATTTATATTCGCACTTATCTCGATTCCCAAATCTGAAATAAAACTAGAAGACGAAATACAAGATGTCACACAACACGCACATCCACTCATTCCAGATAGCACAATGAATTTCTAAATTATTCTTAAAGTATTCTTCTTTCTTGAACGGTAATTCTTTAAGAATTCGTAAAAATAAACTTTAGGAACGCCTAAGGAAGTTATATGCACTACAATTAGAATTTCTGGCAACTTTTTAAAGTATTCATTTTTAATTACTTATGGAACAATAAATATATATCTTATAAATTTTTTTATATATAATAGGTATTACTTTTTTTAACAGAAACTATTTGTAAATATTATAGCGTTGCCTGATTTCACTTGAAAATTTTAGATTACTTGATTCTAATATCATCACATTTAAAAATTCTCACTGCCACTAGTGGGACTCGAACTTGGATCCTGAGGCATCTCTGGATTATGAGTCTGTTGCTTTAGACACTACACCACTTCTTCGATTGATATAAACGTCTTACATTTTGCCTATATGTATTGTAATTAACACAGTAATATAATTTTTTGATAATATGATTTAATAAAATAATTTAATTTTAATAAAAATTATATTTTTCACGTAATTTATTGATAATTTAATCCTTAACTAATGAGGTGAGGTCTACAAAATCTCGTATTCTATTTCGTTTTTTTTTTTTATGTTTATAGTAAACATTTTTTTATTGTTAACTGTTATTAAATAGACAAAGTCATAAAAGACTATAAACTTTGAATAATTATAAATTATAATTATAGACTTTGAATAATTATACAATTTACAAAAAGAAAAAATCTACTTTACCATATAAGATTTAATTAAATTAATTAAATTTATATATAAATATATAAATCAACGCTTATTATAAGCGATGGGATATTTGTCCAATGTAACCATAAAATGTAAATAAAATTAGCTAATAATAGTAATTTCTCACGAATTCTCAGAGTATCCCAAATAATAATTCGCGAAATATTCATTATAATAAAGAAGAAATACTTTATAATGAATTAGGCTCGGATAATTCTTCAAGAATTCTTCAGATATTCATTTTTCTAATTCTGTAGGTTTTCTTTAAAATGAATTCTCTATGAACTTCTATTAATCTTCGTGCTATCTGGCATGCTATAGAACTTATCAAGTTGAACAAAAGAATCCTTTATCATTTCATAAACGATATTTATTGAAATAATAATTAAAAAAAATTAGGGCAAATGAGTATGCCCTTATAGAAATATCATACTAAGAATCATTGATAATTACTTATTATCCAGTATTTTTAATACTGAAAATAGGTAATTATCAGTGATTCTTAGTATGATATTTCTATAAGGGTGTGCGATGCGGCGGAACAAACTTTATAGTTTTAAATGACATATTTTAGGTTTGTTATCTAATCTTCTAGCAACACACACACAGCGAATATAGGAATAAAATCCAACATAAAACATGCGATCTCATCACTCACTACTAGCCTCATGTTACTCCATCTTTTGCTAACAGATATTCATCGTTATTAGGTGATGGTCAACATGCCGAACATCCCAAGTAGCAAACACATGTCATTTTGACGGGACGAATATTAGACATGTTCGTACAAATGACATTTACTAACCAAAAAATAAGCAATATATATAAATTATATCCAGTGCCATAGAAGGAGAGCATACTAGATGACGGCGGGACGCCGTCGTTTGGGACCTGCGTTTCTTTTCGTTCCAGAGAAAAAAATATTAAAAGTGCGATTTGCTACGGCCGGGATTCGAACTCGGATTTTTCGCTTGTCAGGCGACTGCTCTAAACCACTGATCTGCTTGACGCTCTACCACAATCCTCTCCCTAGATAACGCTCAGAGATGCCGTTCGGAAGCGATATCTCTGGCGCTATCCCGAGCTCACGGCGATTACAGAGAGAAACATTGTTACTGTACCAAATGATACAGCTGTCAGTCTCTCAAAGTCAAAAGTTACTATCCTTTAAAACTTGCTGTTCATGTACGAGTATATCCGTCTTCTCCGTTGCCCCTCCTCATCCAGGGCAAATCATAGAAAAAGCCCCGGAGTCGACACTAATTTTTTTTACAGCCCCCGGGTGCTTAGACATGTTTCGCAATACGCAACCCCGAGGGGGATTCAACCTGCCTCAAATTGGTGTCGACCTCGGAGCTTTCTCCATAATTTGCACTAGATATAACTTTAAATAACGTTATATTGATTATACGTTATTTTGTCGATTTTATGATATAATAATTCAATTCTGTGCTGTAATTC